ATAAATAACTTTTAAAAATATATGATTAAATAATTAACATGTAAAATATGATCATAATTTAATTTAAAAATATTTTAAATATATGTTATTGGAATTAAATCCATCTACATTTATAGATTATTACATTCAACACAGAAATTTTAAAATAGAGTAACTTGTTTTTAGTATTTTTTTATTTTTTTATTAATATTAGTTTTCTTTAGTTTTATTTTTCATTAAATCAGGTCCTACCATTTCTATGAATCAAGTTCTACATAGTATATACTTATTTTGTTCGATAAGTTTATGAGTAGATTAACACAATTTTATAAGTTAAAAATATAAAAATAATAAAATTAAAAAGTTAACTCACAAATTTAGCCTAGTTTTATTTAATCTAATTTTATGAGTGAACTAATATTATTTTATATGTTAAAAAATATAAAAATGATAAATTTTAAGACTCAATTTGAGAATTTGATAATTATGTGCTCAACTCTCAAGCCTGCTTGTCTTCGGCCCAAAAAGAGGTTGCTTGCATTTTTTCTGCCCAAAAGCCTGTTTGATTTTAAAAAGTTACAGAAAGTGGAGGTACGGTAAAAAAAAGGGGGGGGGGCTGTTTTCAGTTTTTGGACTTCTTCGTTTAAAAAAAAAAATAGCGTACGGTAAAAAATGCACTTCAAGGGAATTCTTTGATAACTTTTTTGAATATTTAAAAATAATGTATTCAATATCTTGCCATAAAAAAACAAATTTAAATTGTTAATTAACTTAAAAATTATAGAAAATGAATTAACAAATTGCAGAAAATAACACAAAATTATATATAAATACCTTAAAAAATTAATTAAGTCAATCTGTTGGATTGAACCATAAGCCGTTGAACTATTGTTTAGATCAGTTCAATAAAATGCTATGTTCACTACCTGTATGATCATTATTTAACTGTGTACAGTTTTAACCATCAATCATTTAAGTAGTGCATTGATTGATTCGATAATTAGTTTGATTTTTGGTGCTCTGTCACTCAATTGCACAGCGTCAATTACAAGCCTGGGAGCCAGCCAAGATGTGCAAATATGAACCACTGTTTATCTGTCCTAAACAAGAGACCGAAGTGAGAATCAAAGCTGGCATAATTAAAAAATGACCCCAAAGCTAAGTAAATACTTGCTACACAATAGTTTTTGGCAGAACTGGCACCCAAAAATGTTTAGTCCTTTGTAGTCCAAATAAATTAAAAGGGGCGAACAATTTTCCATCAGTGGACCCACCTCAGACATGCTCGTATGACTGCTTTTGGTGGACTTCATCAGTGGATTTTCAATTTGTAGACTTTGTAATTAAGATTTTGTCAACACATTATATTAATTTGCCAGCCCGTGCATGCATGATTGGGTAATTAACCTTCCTTGGGAAATCATCAAGAAGCCAATGAATTGTTTTTCAGCTACAGACTGCATTAATTTTTTTCTTTCAAGATGATTTGCCATGTCTGGTGGATACTTGGAACGGACAGAAACACCACTGTGAATTGAAATGCTTGATTCTATGAAGCTTGAATGAGTGTTTGAAGCTATGTTTTTTAGTGTCCCATGGTCCATGTATGGTGTATGAAATATTAAGCTTATAACACGTTATTTTCTTTGTCATAAATTATAAAATACTTTTAAATAAAATCTCATATGTCAATATACCTTATTAAATACATTTAACAACTTTATTTTTTCAAAACAAAAAATAAAATTTTAAAAATACTCTTCATTTAATTAGCAACCTAAATCTACACTTAATTATTAAATAGAGAGAGGAATGATGCTATTGAAATAAACTTATTTAATGAAATTTTAAATTTTTTTAGAGTGTCTTATATTTTGAGATGTCAAATTCCATCTAAGAGTATCCTATCATTTGGGATAAAGGGAGTATTATATTATGTTAGTTATAAAGTCATGTAGTACAAGTGTGTCATGTACCCAACTTTTGCCTTATATACTTAAATCATATTATTTACCATTGAAATTCTATCGCATCTCACTCCCAATGAACAATAACCCAATAATTAATTTGTAAATTTTATTATTGGGCTTCAATTTCCATTCCATTTCACCTTAACCATTGTTTCCAATTACACAGTGAAAGTGTAAAAAATGAGGATGTAATAATATTCAACCTTATGAAGCACCTCATGATCACACTATTGGGCACACCAACACTAATAGTAGTGATGTTCTCCAAATGTATATATTCTGTTGGTAGCCTTCATAATCATATTGATGCTAAACATATGAAATGGGGTGTCATAATAATTTCGACAATCCCTACATATGAATTCTCAATAATAAGCCATGGAAAATCATGAATGTAAAATTTAAAAATTACCCTTCAAATGTTCCATGTGATGATTCTTGACTTCAAAAAGGCGTGAGGGTGTATGATGAATCTCAAATAGAAAAGTGATGATAATGAGTTTGTAGGAAAGGGAAGTGCACGTTCTAGTACCAATTGAGCAAGGGAAAGAAGAAGGAGAGAGAGAGAGAGAGGGAGGGAGGGAGGGAGGGAGGGAGAGAGAAGGGAGGGGAAATGCCAAAATTCTTAAAAATTCTATTCAATCATTAACAAAGTCTAATGCAAATTGAGAATCCTAACTCTATTTATAAAACCCTAAAAACATTAAAAATAATAATTCAAGTTCAAATTTCAAATTAGTAACCTAATTCAAATTTTAAAGATGTTAATATCCTATTTATTAATGATAAACAAATCTATCTAATAAAATAATAAATCTTAATCCTAATGACACCAGTGCACAAAGTTAACTTAACAACACAATTTTCATGTCAATTGCAAAAGGAATTGTGATAATAATAGATTGAATGAAAATTCTATAAATAGAGGATGGAAGGAAGTTATTATGGCGTCTATTGCTATAATGCAACAAACGCCATAATACAATCCTCATTTTACAAGTGAATTATGATGTCTTTGGCTACATTGTATAATAATAGACACCATAATGCAACCCTTAGTTTTTAAGTGAATTCTGATGCCTAACGCAATTCTTTAGCTATCTTCTTTTACCATCTCCCTCTGTTTATCAAAAAGCTTTTTTTAATCAAACTAAGAAAATATTAAAAAAAACGCATAAATTAATAACATTTTATATCAAGCTGCTATCAATGGACAAGCTTGCTACTTGAAAAGCCGCTTTCTATCGGATGTTTGAAAAGTTACTTCTCAAACTGTCTTCATTTTACTTCCCTGTATTCCCTACGCCCTTATTAAGGTCATGTAAATAACATGTGATGATGTGGACCATTCTTGCTACTTTGAGAGGTGCCTATTTTCAAATTTATAATGGCATTACTGTTGTCAATCGATACCTATTAGAAGATAAAAGAAGTCTCATATTTAAAAATTAAAAGATAGATTATAAATATATCAACTTAAAAAGTATTTAACTATATCGCTTAAACTATTGTGGTGGAATATATTATCTTTAATTACATTTAATATAAGAAATCTAACAATGCCAATGTCACCATTCTTGTTTCATGTTAATTGCTATCATTAAATTCAGTTGGTCTCATTGTCAAAAATTTAAGTGGTTCTAGGAGATACCTTGCAGTTTTCTTTGTCTCAGCAATTGCAAGTAATGGCTTATATTCTTTTCTTTCTTCAAAAAGTCAAAAACTGGTAAGTGCTTCCCGACAAGAATTTTTAGAAACTCAGGTTACACAATGAGTTATTGGTTCTGTGGGGCAATTTTTGGACCAGTAAGTTGATGGAAATATTATTTTTTGCGGTCCTAATCAAATATTAATCTTAAACCGTGTGGATAGTGGACTTAATATTTTGTATTTGTTATAGGGAAAATTAGGAAGAGGGATCTAATACTATTAAAATTTATTATAAAAGACCATAAAAATTAAAATTAGGATAAAGGACCAAGGTAAGTATATGATTGCCTATTATAACTTTGATATAAAATTTGTCAACCTTAAATTAACATAGGTACTACACAGGCATGAAACATTTTATATCACTGGCTAAGAACTTGTTTAAGGCCATATGAAGATTTCTCCAAGCGACAAACACAATATACTTTTTTAAGGACTACAAATCTCTCAAATTGCTTCATGTAGATCTCTTGAGTTCGTCATGTAAAACTGCAGTTTTAACATCTTGCTCCAGCTCCAAATCAAGCAAAGCAACATGCAAAGACTAAGAACATAAACATCATATATCACTTTATGAAAGATATTGCTGCAATAAATGAAATTGTTGCGAAGAAAATTTGCACATCTCAAAATTGTGCAAATTTAGATTGGTTGGTAATGAAGAGTGTTACTGGATTTGAGTTAAAAGGAACTTTGTTGAGTTTATGACTCAAATGTCTATAATCGCTTGTAATTATTTTCATATATAATCTTAGCTTTGATCTGTCTCACTTCCAGTGTGCCTGATGAGCATTCCATTTCCGATCTACATCTACACCACTTCACTTCTGATAAACAAGTCCTCCATCTATTCCAGATGTGGAAGAAGGAGACCAAACTCTTCCAGAAGAGGAAGCCAGGTTTTAGATTTTCAAAAGCAATTTGAAGGATATCAGAGAGAGAAATGCAGAAACAAAGCCACCCAGCGACTATATTCTGGGTTTGAACCAGTTCTCAGATATGAGCTATCAAGAGTTCAGCAAAATCTACTTGCGCACGAGACAGAGGATCAGCTCATCATGGAAAGCAACAACAACATGGAAAGCAACGACAACAGCAACATTTCACTTAACCAAGAATCTTTTCTGCATGAAGCGGTGCCGGTACCTGCACCTTCTTCGTTAGATTAGAGGTTGAAAGGAGCTGTAACTAGAGTTAAAAACCAAGGCAAATGTGGTAAGTTGAAATTTGTTTTGCTTTTTATATAAACTAATCGACGTGATCATTTATATGATGACAGAATCGATCAAATTCATGTTTATTACTATAGGAAGTTGTTGGGCATTCTCTGCAACTGGATCCATGGATGGAATAAATCAAACTGTCTCAGGAAGGCTTCCGGTTCTTTCTGAGCAACAACTTGTATCTTGTTCTAAGAGTAACAAAGGTTGCAAAGGAGGTTGGTACGTTCGAGCATTTCAATATTTCATCAAAAATGGTGGGATCACCTCAGAAAATGTTTACAACTATACAGCTACAGATAGTGCATGCAGGAAAAAATTGGTTAATATTTATGTCATGACTAGACTTATATAGCTTGTATCAATTGTGTATATAATCGGGTAATTTTAGTAAATTGTTCTTTCGTGCATGAAAAAAGGACGGCCACCACTATCAGTTGCTAAAATATTGGCTCCGTACTCCCATATCAGAAAGGTCTCTCCGTCGTTTTGTCTTCAAGCAACCTATTAGTGTTTCCATATATGCAAGCCCGCATTTCAAGTCCTACAAAAGTGTACGTGATCATATTTTCAATCCAGAATCATAAATTTATACTCTATCAAATAAAACCTCATGCTTCTGCCATCCAACAAGACATTGTAATAGTTGGTTTTCTTATAACTTTGACAGGGAATCTTCAGTGGGGCTGATTGCTCAAGCATGATCCGTACATGTAAGAATTTAAATCATGTTGCGTTAATTGAGGGATGTGATTCGTTGGTTGCTGGTCAAGATTATTGGATTGTCAAAAACTCTTGGGGAAGCTCTTGGGGACAGAGTGGTTACATCTTCATCAAAAGAAACACTGGTTCTTCTCGGGGAGTATGTTCCATAAATTGTTCTGGTGCATATACCCAACCAAAGGGAAGAAAGAAGCACCAGTTTTGAAGCTTGCTTCTACTATCTGAAGGACATCTCCAGCATTATTTGTTGTACTGGATGGATGTATTGGTTATAAATAAATGGCAATCGATTTGCCTTCAAGTGAGGCTTATGTGTGTTCAATTATATATGTGTGCGCTAAGATGAGCGTGAACCTGGTTGATAACTGTATTATTCTTGAGATGCTCCTCAGGTAGCTCGTCCATCTATTTGTTGTATTGAGATTCTATGGGGGATTGGATCCCCCATCTTGTGTATTGGTTGAATAATATTATTGTGTGGGCTATTTTTCTACCCAAAAAAAAAAAAAACCCTCTACATGCAGTTCACCTTCTGATATTTAGATTGATTGTCATTTGTATGAGGACTAATAGTTTCTACTAAAATTGTAACCCCGAATAAATCTTATAAAAAATGATAAAATGATAATTAAGGACTCCATAAGATCATTACTTATAATTAGGGATCTTGAATTATTGATATGATTCTTATTTGAAATTAAAAACATATATAAGTTTGCAAAATTGCCTTTGAGTACTGAAATTATTATTATAAGCTGAAACTATTGTTAATTTCAATTAAAAAAATCAGGATCCACACTTGAAAATAGGATAACTCGAAATTTATATAATTAGGTTATGTCTTTTAAATAATTTTTATATATATAGAATTTTCATTAAAAAGGATAAGTACTGTATCAAATCAATTTTTTTCTTTTATGACCAAAACTATTGAATCAAATTTCCTTTAAATTTGAAAAGTGCTTTTGTTTTGAAAAAATTAATTATTCATTAATAATTTTAATTTTTAAAGATTAATTAACATATCAGATGAATCAAATTACAAAAGGCTTGATTAAAACAAAAAATTTTAAAATTTAAAATTGAAAAAAATTAAAGTTATTTCAATTATATTCCTTGATTCGTGTAAAACGGTTATTTGTGTGTTTTTTTTTTAAATAAATAGGTCGGGATGAAGATGGAATATATAATGCAATATTTATTACCCATTGCCAGAAATATACCTGCGTTCAATTCATGTAAAAGTATGTGAGAAAATAGAGTTTGGTCATTCTTTTCATGTGAACATTAAAATGAAATGTTCAATCCACAAGAGATTTTGTTGAAGTAGTCTTATATTTACATGCGAAGGAGTATCAACGTAGTCCTTGTATTGTTAGCACGGGCATCAAATATAAGTCAATTTTTATCAATTGGATTCATTTTTATTCACAGGATGACAACTACTTTTGTATATTGTGGCAAAAAAAAAAATCTACTTTTTAGTTACTATAAGTCTATAACAATCATTCACAATTGATTGGTATACACAAGTAGTTAACCTGTCAAAAGTTCAAATTAACTTTATTAATTAATGAGAAAGTAACTTATGGTAACAAATAAAAGTATTTTATGCATGTTTTAATGATGTGATCATCTTAATTTTGTATCTTAAATTTTAGAAGTCATTTTGGGATACTTATTTGATACAGTTATTTAATCAAACGGATTTAACTATGAGAAAAACTATGACGAATGGTAGTGGAATAAGTAGATGGGGCTAACTAATAATAGAATGAATAATAAGGAAATAATTAAAAAAAATGGAAATAGCCAGTTGAGAGAAAGAGGTCCCACATAATAATGCATCCCATATCGTTCCTCTCTCTCTCTCTCTCTAGTTTATCATTAAAACCTACATGGATGGCTTCTTCTTTTCAAACATATGTAATTAAACATAGTATTGTAATAAAAATAAAGAATAAGATAGAAAAGGAATTTTCTTGAGTTATGTAAGAACCTTTGAAAAAATGTTATGTTTTACTTATTTTAGGAGCAAAATTGCTACTGCACAAATAATTTAGGGTATTGGATAATCCTCAAATAATAATTTTTGGGCAAAAATATACCTTAGCTTAAATCCACTTTGTATGATAGGTGGCATTTTTAGTCAAACTTAAATCCTAGCAATCATTGCGATATTTAACATTGGGAAAAAATATGCTACGATAAATAGTTTAGGATAGTGAATGCTTCTCGAAGAATAGTTTAAGGGCAAAAATACACTTTAAGCTTTGATGTAAATTAAAGCCAAGTGCATGTCTAGTGAATTAATTTAATTTAGGTTAAAATATACTCCCTCTGATTCAAATTATAAGATATTTTTAAATAAAATCTTACATACTAATATAGCTCATTAAATTCACTTGACCTTGTTTTTTTCAAAATAAAAATATAAACTTCCAAAAACATCCTTCATTTTAATAAGCTTAAACTTGCGCTTAATTATTAAATAAAAAGGAAGAAAAGATAATATTTAAATAAGTCTATTTAATAAAATATTAATCTTCTTCAAGTGTCTTATATTTTGTGGCATTAATTTTTTTTTAAAAGTGTCTTATAATTTAGAATGAACAGAGTATAAAACTTTTTTAAATTTTGAGACAGTTGCATAGAACTTCATCTTTAAAATTTTAAAATTGATCTCTCTAACCTTTTTTTTTTAAATCACATACTCCCTCACTATTATTTTTTAGTTATCTTACTAACAAAAGTTATCATGTCATATTGAAAAAAACACTCAGACAATTTATATGATATTCAATGTAAGCTAATAATAACAGAAAAAATATAAATAAAAATTTTATAAAGCTATTATTAGCTTATTTATATTAAATTCTACATAAATTATTACATATCTTTTTTTAATATGACATGATAATTTTTGCTGATAAAATAATTAAGAAAAAAATTAAAAGGTTAGTGAATTTAATTTTAAACTTTTAAAAGATGATTAAATTATGTACAACGATATCAAAATTCAAAAACATTATGTATTTTTTAACCTAAATTAAATAAACCTGCTAGAGATGCACTTGGCTTTAATTTTACATTAGTTTTGGTTCATCAATCAACAAGTGATGCATTTTCACTCAAGCTAAATCACATACTTTACTTTTATTTTTATTTCTTTAATCCATTTCATTCTTATCTTCCCAACAACCAAACGGGTACTTAGTATCTCGGCAATTGCAGGAACCATCCAAGATCTACAAATATAAACCAATTTTTATCTGTTCTAAACAAGAAACCAAAGCGAGAATCAAAGCTGGGGAAATCAAAAAATGACCCCGGTCCAAGCAGATGCAATACTCGCTACACAATAGTTTTGGCCCAAGTTCAGTTCACTTGCCCGTTGAAGAGACATTCTTGGGCAAAACTAGTCCCAAAATGTTCTAGTCCAGGTAAATTAAGAAGGAATGAACACTTTTCCATCAGACCCACCTCGTCCATGCTCATATAACTACTTTTGATCGACTTCATCAGTGAATTTTTTGTAGACCTTGTTTGCTTAAGATTTTCTCAACACAATATTAATTTGCCAGCCCATAATTGGGTAACCTTCATCAGTCCTTGAGAAATCATCACGAAGCCAATGGACTGTTTTTCAGCTACAGACGGCAAGAATTTCTTCTTTCAAGATCTGCCATGTCAGGTGATATTTGGAAGGCACAGAAGCACCATGTGAATCGACATGCTTGGGATCAAAGCAAAAAATATGCTTAGTTCTCCCAAGAATCATAGTCTACCAAGTGGGGACTCAAGGGCGTGATCATCCACCAACCAGAGGCCAAAATCACGAAATCGTTTTGTCTTCTTCTCAAAACCTATGATATAGTTGTTGTGAATTATAACATGCCTTCCTTTAGTCTCCCTAACCCAGGTCTTGTTCTTGAAATATAGCCCGCCTGTGGGGAATGCAGCCTGGGGCAGCAAGTACAGGTCCACCTGCAGAGAATTGCATTCGTAAAATCATGAAAATGACAATAATATATTCACTTTAGATGTTTTACGATAAATCAGAAGAAATTTGATGAGTGGGAAGCTTTGCCTATAATAGGGTAATGTTCTGAAATGGAAATATACTTATAAACAAGTTAAACACCTTCACAAAGATGATTAAAGAATATTGAGACCTACAAACAATAATAAACTATTACTACTAGACAATAGCAAAAAGTTGCATTTTGAAAGTTTCCTCAACAAAATCCACTGACTCTTCCTGGTGAAAAATGTACTGAATCATGATATTAAACTGACTATTATACAAGATTCAGGTTCATCCTTTCTAGCAGACATATGAGAACCGTTGAAGCAGACCTATAACATTTGGAAGCTATGATCACAAATATGACAAAGATTTTGGAGTCTGTTATCCACAATGAACCATTGCAAAAATCCTTCCCCCATTGACACAAATTTTCCTCATATGATCATTCTTTAACCCAGAAGGACCAAAGGATTGATTTATCCTCAGCTGGCATGGAAGAGTAATACCTGTTTTTCTACTGAGAAAGGAAACTGCACATCCTTTATTTGTTTTTCATTGGACACATACCTTCCATATTGCACTACTCCACTATCATTAGATTGGAGGTCCATAAGCAAGAATTTGCTAACAAACCACAGAATAAGTGACTTCATACTAAGTATAGCCCTTCAAATCCTATTATTAGAAACTTAAATTCTTATTGAAAAATCCCAGTTTTCTTTAAAATAATAATAAGTAAGCCTACTTCTTAATTAAGTTCCTGGTATAATTAATATAAAAACTAGATAGGAAGCTAAGCCAAATGGGACAAAGTTACAGACCTCTTTAGCAGCCTTCATCAAAGCCCAGTTAAAAGCAGGCTGATCATTAGATTTCTTGGTCTCAGACCATGGCTGAAGCTGAAGTTCTTCAATCCACTTTTTTAGAACTAGCTTAGCTCCATCAGTAGTGCGCAGGAAAATCATACAACTACATATGTAAGGGCGCCCCTTTTTCCCTGGTGGTGGTAAATCATGAGAGTGGTTTAATGGTTTGATCTGGTCAGAGAGAAGAAATGAAAAGGAAATCAATAAAACAAGAACGCAGAACCACATTGCAAGGACAGCATATTTTCAGGAGGGAAAAACACGCACACAAGCACACAATCTTCATTAATTAGAATCCTATGTATACAGTTTAGAGAACACCAGTATGTTCCAAATCTATCTCCACTAGATATGATGCTCAAGTCTTTGAAATTATTTGAATACATATTCAGGGAACACCAGCATGCCTCAGGCATGTCTCCACCAGATATAATACCAAATATCTGAATTTTTTTTTTGGGTTAAAATCTTTAAATTACTTGGATACACATATCATCATTTATTCTAATCTCTGACAGGAATCAAAATCCTGAAAGGACCAAATAAGGAGGAATTTGACACCTATTGAACTGCTACATGACTTCATTGAGCAATGCCATGGATTAGGATTTATTATCAGCCATGCTTTAATTCACGGCTAAAAAGAAAAAAGACAGAGAAGAAATCAATCAGAATACATACTACCAATCAATATAATTAGAATTCTAACTTTTGCAAACATTATCTGCATTCAAGTCCTTCACTGAAGATCTAGTGAAAATAACGTATATGTTGAGTCAACTTCCTCAAAACTATACTTCCTTTTATTTAACAAGTAACAATATTTTGAGGTAATAAAACAGGTAATCCTTTTATCATACTATCCCATCAATCACGGAAGCCCAATATAGCTCTGAATGGTTAGATATATATAATAATTGACATGAAGCAAAAATTTACTAAAATTATAATCGCACACTTACTGCAGTCATATCATCTGTAAAGTACACGTCATGATTCCCTTCCATATAAGGAAATGGATCGGCCAACCAAACCATATCAACATCATTATACATGACATTGTATCCAAGCTCCAAAATCTGAAGCAGATGGCGTGGCCTCCTAGCTGTAAAGTTGAAGAAACCCTAGACAAAGAAAAGAACAACAATTGATTCTCAGAAACAGCACCGTGTATTGTCAAGAAATGGATCCAACTAATCCTTGCATTGCAGATGCAACCAAGTAACCCGGATATCTTCTTACGTCGGTAAGAGGCAAAAAACCAAGAGTTACTTAGTCTAGAATCTAATGAGCAGTCTTCATTACAAAAGGAACAGCATTAAATTTGTAAGGTGGGATGAATAATGTTAGCATAAAGCAGTTCTTTATGCCACATCGAGTCAAAAAGAAGAAAAATGGTGATGGTAAACAAGTACAATCAATTCAGGACAGGTACACATTCTAACGAATAATCAAAGACAGACCAAATGGCTTAGAAAATCCGCAATTGTGTCTGAATATGTACGCAATTAAAATGTCAGCTTACTGTGTGGAAAGGGGGGAACTAGTTTTGCTGCTATAATTACGCGAAGTAAAATAACAATAAATTCAATTCACCCAATCGGCTTTTCAGTTACAACTAAACTCTAATACAATGTCAGCTATCAAATGCTCATTGCTAAAAAAATGTAGAACTCCTGAATTAATATTAATAAAATAAGACAAAACTACAAATTCGATACTTGCATTGTCAGAACTAATCACCACTAGTACCTGAAAATTGAAAATTGGTTAATATATGAGTTCATCCTAAAAATATTAAATTCCAGAACTTTAGTCCTTCTGAGTAACTAGACGAAAGAACGATTTCCAGGACCAAAGTTAAGTTGGTAGTGTGATCAAAATTTAATCAAGCTGTGCATACCTGAGAACCAAACTTATGGGCAGCATCACCATCAAGCACAGGTGGGATAAGTATAGCATGACCAGGCCAACGCTCATTGACCTTATAGAGCGTCGCATAATCCTCCGCAATCACAAGCACCATATCTTGGCGCTTTTGCCTTGTGATGCTTATCAACCAGTTATTAAGAAAAGCCAAGTAGGGTTGGCTCACGATACAAACTATGACGGTTCCATTTTTGGCCACAAATGGCAGCGCTTGTGCCAATGTATAGTGACGCCACTTGGAGATCGCTGGTTCGGAAGCTGAGAAGATTCCCTGGGGCATGTCCACCCAGGGCGAGAAGACGCCAAATACCACGACGACAGACAAGAGAACGAGAAGCGCAATGGGGCTGAAAATGGAAATCCGTTTCTGAGAATTCGTCGAGGAAGGAGGAGAAAAAGGGAATCGATTGGTAAACGGATTGTGACTTGTTCTTTGATGGAGTAAGGATGACATCGCTGAGAATTTGTGGGAAAGATTGGAGAAATGGAAACGAAAGCCTAGATTTCAATATACAAAAGGAAGAAGAAGAAGAAGAATTAAGGATTTTTGAAGTGGAATAGTGCAGTGGTAGATTTCAGATCTGAACCAGGAAACTAGCGCAGCGCGTTTCCGAGTAGACCTACGGATTCAGAGTAAAATACTAGTTTTTTTTTTTCTTTTCTGGGAAAAATACTAGTTTTTTGTTTAATAATCCATGCCTAACTCGGTTGGCCCAAGAAAAAAAAAATCAAGTTCTTTTAATTCAATTAATTAAAATTAAATTTGAAAGTTTTTATGTATAAAAATATTATATAGGAATAAAATAATAATTGTCCCCACAGTTCTCAAAAAGACCACATGTTTTTATTTAAAAAAATTTATGATCATATATTAAAAAAAGTATTTTCAAAAACTTTGAAATAAAAGGAAGTTTCAATTACCTATATTAAAGTTAAATAAGATAAACATGAGGGGCAATAATTAATATAAGAATGTTTAATAGTAAAACAAAAGACTACATCAATGATTATTTTTTAGTCCTTATTTGTTTAACCTAGTTTTAAATATTTTGACTAAATATATTTAAGAGAAAATTCATAAATATATATTTTTTATGAATGATATAATTCTTATTACGGAGACAAGAGAAGAAATAAACTGTAAATTTGAGTTATAGAGAAAAACATTACAGTCAAAAAGTTTTGGTTTGAGTAGAAGTAAGATAGAATATTTATATTGTAATTTTAATAAGAAGTTAATTAGTAATAATTTGAAAGTGAAATTAGAAGACTAAATTATACTTCAACTAAAAAACTTTAGATATTTGAGAGTTATTATTTGATATAATTGATAAATTGATAGGGATATTACACATAGGATATAATTGGATGGTTTAATTAAAGAAGAACTAAATGAGTTATTTATTATCGTAAGGTATCTAATAAATTTAAAGGAAAGTTTTTTCAAACTGTTATAAAACCAATTATATTATATGATAGTGAATATTATACTTTAATAGAATAACAAAAGCATAAAGTTAAAATAATAGAGATAAAAATGTCGAAATGGACGTGCAAACATATACATAAAAATAAAATTTGAAATGAGAACAGTGAAAAAAAGTAGGTATAGCACCTATTGAAGAAAAATAGTATAAAAATTATTTGAGATGGTTTGTATATGTATAAAGAAAATAGTGGAAAGCACTAATGAAAAGAGTAAAATAAATAATTTTAAGCCATGTTAAGAAGGATAGAAAAAGGTGAAAGAAAATGTTTATAAAAGTTGTTGATAGAAATATCTTAAATAATAACACTCTAAAAAGTTAGTAAATAATATAGTATAATAACGTTATATATTTTATACAACTAATTTTATTTAATGAGATAAGATTTATTGTTATCGTTGATGACATCAAAAACATGATTTAACACAGTAGAATCGGCGAGTTTACGTTTGTAGGCGAAACAATCTGGTTAAGTGGCATGTTGTCATGACTTGCGTCTCGACTCGTTTGAACTCGCGTGCCACTCCACAAACTTGCCAAAAGCATTTATGCACGGTGCTCCCACATGCGGGTTTTAGTGGACGGTTGGGAGTCGAACTACCTTCAACTTTCAAGCAAATTTCATTGGATCCCACTATTCTAAAAACATGTCCATGCCCGCCACACAGCGTTTGATTTCATTTCAAAGATGCTAAGTTGTGTATAATTATTAGATTATTATGTCAGTGATAAAATATCAATACAAAATTTTAGAATAACACAGCCAAATAGTGTGTTAGAAATTATATCCCATAAATAAGTATAAAATTTTAATATGATTTGAAATGATAAAAAGATACCTAAATATCACCAATATCTCATATTTTTATTAATATTTTTATATATGAATTGTATTAATTTTCATGCTATGTATGGTTAGTTAATCTAGCGAAAAAATATCACCAAATATTTTATATACACATAATTTTTTGATAAAAAAATATAGACATTTTTAACATGTTATTTTTCTACGAGTTACTTCTTTTAAAAAATTTGAATAGGCTAGTTCAAAGATACCAAAAAACTTGTCTAATTAATTATCAAATATTAATAGTATTTTTAAAAAATATTTTTCAAAAACATCTTAATTGTTTAATGATAATTTAGCCTTCAATCATTATTTAAGTGAAAAAATCTAAACATAATTCTTTTTCAACCATTTAATTCTATATTTTAGTTTTTTATTTGGATTACATCTATTTAGTTAATAATAATTATTTATTAATAAAAACAAACTCTTATAAGTTTATGTTACAAGTTTATCTTATATTAATGAGTTTACTTAAAATTACGAGTTTGATAACCTTGTCTTGCATCTAGACTTGTTTTTTTTAATCATTTGTCTTTTTTGTTTATTTTATTTATTATTGACTGATTTGTGGTTAGTTGAATTTCATAAAAAAAATAGAATCTTCTCCGAGAAGTTGTGAAAATTAAATTTGTATGTTCTTAATTTCATGTATATAAAAATATTTTATAGGAATAAGATAATAATTGTCATTGCATCTTAACTATTCCTTCTATTCAAAAATGTAAAATATTTTTAATGATTTAGTGTGTAATCATTGCATTTTTTTAAAAAAAATATCCCTAATAAATAAATTACTTTATATTTACTTTAAAATGAAACATTCTATTAAATTGAGAAAAATATAAAAAATGGTGTTAGTTTGAAAATAATTAATTACTTTATTGTGTAAAACTGCCCACAAGGGTGAATTGGACTAAATAAAATTTAAAATAAATAACACAAGATTAAAAAATAAGTTAGGAACGATATCACCAATTAAAGCCAAGAGAAGGGAAGAGAAGGTTTGCAAGAGTGTTTATCCTAGTTTGGCTCCAATCTTTTGAGCTTATGTCTAGTTTCTAAATTACACTTGAAATTTTTTTCACTTACTCTACCATAATTAAACTAAGCTCTCAGTTGCCTCAATATAATTTTAAAGTTTTACTCAAGTATATAACTCTTCCCTTTACAAAGATAATCACAAATTTCCTTAAACTCCTCATGCTTAAGTTTCTCTATTTTAGATATGAAAAATAGGAATAAACAGAGTAAATTCAATAATAAACTATTATTATTAAAATCTTTAAAGTAAATTTATAATTACTAAAGCTTACAAACAATGAATATTGTAGTAGGAAATTGGTTAAAAATGAATGCATATAGTTGAACAAAATAGCTTCTCTACATCCACTTTAGAAATGAGTCATATTTATAATTGATACTAATAATAGATCTATTAGACTCATGTAATTATCCGTTAGAACATCGTTCTTCTTCCCTTCTATATTTCTCTAAGAATGAGGTGATTAAAACTGTGCTTTAGGGTGGAGTTGTGTGTTTTCGGTAATTTAAGAAAAGTAATACTTATATACATTTAATACTCTGACAAGAGATAGTCAAGGTAATACCGGTAGAGCCAAATGCTTTGAGGTTTTAAAAAATAATCAAAGATTGAAGAGAATACATTTAGAAATGATCTAGAAAGTTTTTTAGACTAATGCAACATTCAAAAACTAAAAAGAATAAAGAATGACTAAGAACATATGTTTATGAAACAAAGAACATAATATAGAGTAACAATCTTTATGTTAATACTGGTATTAGTACCAACAATACTGGTATTGATACAAACAAGATCGGGGTATAGAACAAATGGAACTGATAAAAATATATTGAAAGATGCATGTGAGCATAATATCGGTATTGTTGAGCTTAGTACCGGTAAGGATAATAAGTTGTGACAATGAATGCTTGCACCAATTAAGACTCATTGTATGGGAAAAGGGATGGACATTACTTGTATTGAGACACTAATGCCGATAAAGAAGTTATGAACCAAATGTGTTTATACATATATTAAATAATTTATATCAGTATTAATGATCATAAAATGTAGGTTAACTTTTAAAGGTAATAACTCTTTCAATTTACATCCAAACCCAACAAAATGACCTATGGTTGAAAAACTTTAGAATTCTAGTTTTCAATGAAATAAGACCCAAGTGAAAATTTAAAATAGTTTGAGAAATATGGTCAACAAGGTGAGAAAAGGTCAAGAATGCTTTTCTGTGGGTCTGAAAGTTTTAAAAGCCAACTTTAAAAACTCATAACTATTTCATACAAAATCTATTTTGAATGAGATGGATATCTTTGGAAATATTTACAAATCTATTTAGATGAAAGAAGTTTCACATCAAAAGGATTTGAATAAGAAGAGATATAGAAAAAAATATTGATTAAAGATCACAACCAAATATTTACAAAACTCTTAATTCAAAACATAAACTTCAAGTATTAATAACATAATTAAACTTGAACAAAACCTTCTCAATACCCAAGATAGATTCAAGAAAGAATTTATGATAAATCAAATACTGTCCCAATAACAAATTTAAAGGAACTTAGAGCTTTGGGTAAGATGATGTGAATTAAGCATATAGATTAATTACCTTTAATTTCTATTAAACACAAAATAAAATATCTTCAAAAACAAAATCTTCCTTATTTTGTAATAATCAAAATTAAGGCTCAACCTTATTGGAATAAGATTTAATTAAAAATATTTATATTTTTTAGTAAAGAGAGTAATTTTTTTTATCATTTGCCTTTTATTTTATTTTATTTATTATTGATTGATTCGTGGTTAGTTGAATTTCATTAGAGAGAGAGAGAGAGAGAGAGAGAGAGAGAGAGAGTTCTCTCCAAGTTGTGATGTTATCATGACAAAGGTTAACAATTACACAAAAGTTACTGTTAGATAGAAGATATGATATACAAATAACATGCAGTTGAGTTTAGCGAAATAAATTAGTCCCTCATAACATATCAACATAATAAATTAAGATTCAAATTTTTATTGATAAAAGTGCATATATTTAATGTCTTTTATCATGACACGAACAATATTGCTTGTAATAGAAAGATATTTGTATGAAATTAAAAAAGACATTAATAATATTATTATTATCATCATCATTATTAATAAATAAATAAAAGGTTAAAAGGTAGAGTATACAATCTAATGGAAAATCCCAAATTAGAGAGTGTACAATCTAAAATTAGGAATCCGTTAATTAATCCTTT